AACGGCAATATTTCGGCACTACGAAAGATCTACGAACTACTACGAATCCAGCTACGAGTGTTCCTGTAGCGAATCTAAATAAAATAACCCCGTAGCGCCACCTATACAAAGGCTTTTAAACCAACACTTTTCCTTTAACTTGCTATCTGCCCCACCATTTTCAGTAAACATTGTAATATGTGATACATACTGGATCCAATAGGTGGCGCTATAAGAAGTGTACAATATTAGGAACCACACTGAAACTGTAGTTATGAATCGTTTCAACAGATGGCGCTGGCAGTCCAAAAAGTAGAGCACAATTTTCTAGCTCTACATTTTTGTCTTACTGTGCTCGTAGTTCACATAGATAAACTGACAAGGAAGTTTCAAATAATTTGTAGGTACTTACCTAGTACGTACTTATTTTGAACTATATTTCCAACTTTTATTTAATTCTTATTGAGCTTATTAATATAGTTTCAAGGTAAATGTAGTCCTTTTAAAAATAATGCCACACGGCGACTAATACTTACAGAAACATACCGAAGCCATCTCAATGGTGACGGTAGTCGTTTATAGCGACCTTCCACCTACACTGCAACTATTTTCAGTTCCTATGTCGAATGATCTCAGAAAATCAGTACCTCTAGTAGGAAAAACTTTCGAGTTCGTTTCGTTGCGTATTCAAAGTGTCATCGAAAAATTTTGTATGAAAAATTAAACAGCGCCCCCTAGGGCGGCTATAATATAGGGGGCGCTGTTTAATTTTTCATACAAAATTTTTCGATGACACTTTGAATACGCAACGAAACGAACTCGAAAGTTTTTCGTACTAGAGGTACAGAATACGTAAGGACACGCGTTACAGTAAAGTTCATCTAAATTGAAATTGTTGTTTGGCAATAGCGTCAGTCTCCCAAAACAAGCTTAAAAAATACTTACGTTCAGATTTTCAGTAATGGTTATTATAGGGATGGTACCTACCCCTTTATTACTCTCATTCACTAGGTGGACCGACGATCTGGTGAAGGTCGCGGGAGGTACCTGGATGCAAGCGGCGCAGGACCGGTCTTTGTGGAAATCCTTGGGGGAGGCCTTTGTCCAGCAGTGGACGTCTTTCGGCTGAAACGAACGAACGAACGAACCCCTTTATTAACGTAATTCTTCTTCGAACTCTTCTGATTACTTTTATTGCGGGTCCAATGACAGTTTAACTTTCTCCTGGGACAAACTCGACCTTCACTGGTTGGGTTTTTATTGGCGATCAAGCTGTAGATCCTGGCTACACAGGAGTTGCAGGGGTGGGAACTTTAGTCTCGTCATTATAATAAATAATTATCATTACCTGCAATATGTATGTATTGTAAGTAAACAGGTATGCGGATATTTTGCAACTCTACCTGGTCACGTAATTACGCAATTTATTCATATGTGTAACACTATCAGATGCCAATGACATTATAATGATAGTTTAATGATGCATTTATCATACCATTTGTACTGCATTACACAATGCCAAATGTAAAATATTACGAGTAGAAGCAACCTCCCACAATAGACAGGGTCATGAGTTTGATCCCTGACCTGTTTCATTTGGAACTTGACTAAAAAGTCTATTATAAAATTATTGTACCTACTAAAAATATATTTTTCCTGCCTCTCGTTCCCATCTCTGTAGCTCCTGTGGGTAGGATCAAGAACTCTACTGGTAATAAAAACACAACCTATGAAGGTCAAGTTAATCTATTGAAAAATATTCAAACACTTGTGTGTTAAAATTAAGGAAAATAATCCGACTGAAAAGTTTAAAATACTACAAAACAAAACAAAATAATTAATCATTTACTCATAATTTGACATACAAGTTGACCTACCTGAACATGTTTACCTGGCAGGTTCATTAAAAGGATAATATTATTAAAAAACAAACGCGAAACTTAAAACAAACGACTACTTCAATGTTGACGATCGATTGGCGATGAGTAACCACTACGTCACACGCGGAGGCGCGGGCGCATCGTAGTACACACCGCACACAGACGCGCGGGTTCAATGTACGTGACGCATGTATGGCGCAAGTGATAGGGGGAAGCGGGGAAGTGAGCGGGTGGAGTGGGCGTGGTTAGAGAATGAAAATAGAAACAAAGGCATGATTAACTAAGGTTTTAGTTAATTTTACCATAATAATAACGTGTACCAGACTAAGCCTAAGGCACCTCTCGTTTTCATCGCTGCTACTTCTATGTAGCCAGGTTCTAGCTCAACCGCCAATAAAAACCCAACCAATGAAGGTCAAGATGGGGAATATTTATTGTATACCAGAGTGATTCACTATAGAGTTAACTTGACTTTTAGACTTTTCCTTTTAAAATCCTTGAAAATTCGTATTTTTTTTTTGATTTTATAAAAAAATATTGTCATTCATAAAGAATATTAAACTGATTAATAGTGTTATTTATTTAAACAACTTCAAACATTATCATTAATTTGTACAAATAATATTTTATCCCTCATTGAAATCATCTTCACAATGTTTCTGCTTACCAAAAACGCTTCCGCTTACCCCACCGCTGCCGCCTATGCCTCGCACCAGCGGCGATCACGCCTCGGTCTCGTGCTCACTTTCCCGCCGCGCTGCGTTACTCATCGACACCGACACACTTCGGGTGACTGTATGCACGCTCGAGAGGTGTGTGGACACGAAAGTGACTCTTACAACTATGTTCGCACATTTTAATCATTATATAGGTTGATTTTAAGATTTTTTTTTTAGTATTTGAGGATATTCTTATGATTTCCTTTATCATGTAAAATCTACAGAATATGAGTACTCACTCTACATATTATTATGTCAATACATTTCTTCACACTTTGAGCTTGTAGTTATACACGCTCGAGAGGTATGTGGACTCAAAAGTGACTCTTACAACTACGTTTGCGATTTTAATCATTATTCTAAGGCTAGTTGATGATTTTTTGTGACAGCCTTTACGTCTGGTCTAACGTCTTACAGGCCATAGGAACTGACTCTACATATTATACATTTCATCACACAACGGGCGACTGTTATTATGCACTCAAAAGGTGTGTTGTTGACTCTAAAGTGACTCTTACAACTATGTTTGCACATTTCAATCATTATTTAATGATGTTGTTTTGAAGCAGTTGAGGATAGATAGAAAGATTAAACTGCTCTTGACACCAAAACAAAAGAAAGAAATAAGTACACAAAAGAAACGTCACAATTTAGGCAGACTTATTGCTATGAAGCTTTTTTACTGTCTGGTCTAATGTCTACAGTATAATAGCGAGTATTCATTGAAGAAAAACTTACCTAATTCTTTTATACGAAGTGCTAGAAAAATCTCGTTCAAGGTTTGGTTATTTCCATTCGTTTATCATATTTGTATGGTAGGCAATCTGTTTAACAACGTAATATTGATTTAATTGTTTTTGTGTTTATAACGTATCGCTTCACAGTCACGGAGCCATTAATGATAAGTATTCAGAAACGTCTTTATTTCGAAATGGAACTTTGTAAGAAAAACATGAGTGTCCTGTGTTCAACTAACAAAATATAAATAAATAAATACTTTTACTCTACCTGTAAAGAATAAACGAGAACAAACAATTATAATAAACAAGGCTCAACAACAAAAATATAAATTAATAGTTACTTCTACTATTCGTTCGTTCGGGTCAGTCAAAAGACGTCCACTGCTGGGCAAAAACCTCTCCCAAGGACTTCCACAAAGACCAGGAAAAAATACTGCTAAATACTTGCAAAGAATTTACGAGAACTTTTGAGTATTACCGACTCTACATTATTCTGTCGAGAGCGACGAAACAAGCACACTAAATAAGGTGTGAACGCTCGACTGAGGTCAGTTCGCGAATACATTAACAGGCCCGTCTTTTATTTTGCAACCTACAAAATAGCAAGTGCACATCAGAATTCACATGTTTGTCGCTAAATGCACCCTATTACAAGTAGATAAGGTACCACACTGTGAAGCTTGATGAGCTGTCGTTCACGTGCATTTTGCATAACCTTACGTGGCTCTGTAGCTGTGGCTCAGTGTAGTGACCAAGTATAATGTTTATTGAAATCACTTATTTTTCAAAGGAAAGTTTCAGGGGTTTTCCTTATTTTTGAAACTTTTATGTTCATTGCTACGTTTCTTCGGCATTCTTTATCCTACGTGTTTGTTTATCTCAGAGAAAATGTGAACGCAAAACGTGTTTACGAACTCTTTGAGTGGAAATAAAATAATAATTAGATAAAGGAAAAATACGAAAGACCTGTTCTGTTTTATAATTAATCTGCGTCACTATCAACCTGGTACGTAAACCCATAATTTTACTCAGAGTTATTGGTAAATATTGATCGGCATCGATTGTCTGTCTGATGAAAAAGCGAAAGGGGATTATAATACGTCTTTTATTATTGTGAAATATAGAGTCCTTATGCATTGAGTCTAGTGCATTTGTTTTTAAGCTGTGTAACTAGTTGAAGGTTACCTTACACTTCTAAGTTCTTTATAAAAAAGTTAATAGGGCCCTACTTTTTCCAAACATTATACAAACAACATGAAAACCACTCATACATAACTTCATGACGCGAAATAATCAGGTGCAATCTAATCAGGACAAGGCTGCCACGACAAGTGACAAGTTTGTTGTGACTCTTCCACCAGTCCCCAACTGGTCCACTCAAAGGTCATCGACACACTGTCAAAATAGTAAAGCCGCTTGCAGACGAATGTCATCGATTGCTCGGCGTGCAGCGAGCGAGCGCGACCTTGCGCGCCCGCGCCCCTGCGACGTCACCGGGGGCGCGCCGCTGACGTCACGCCGGCCTCGCCGTCAGCCGCCGAGCACGTGAACACCACGCGCCGGCACGCGCTGGCTGCGTGATCAGGCGCGCGCCATTGGCCCGCGCGGCCGCGCCGCCCGCCGCCATTGGCCGCCGCGCCGCCCGCGCCCCGCGCCCACACATGCTTCGTGCCTCGAAGACCCGCGAAGCGGTTTATTCGGCTGCCGATCGCTGACCGAAGTGCACGGCTCCAACCCGCGGAGACGCGAACCCACAACAACAAGTTTTGTGAATTAAACAAGAAAGTTTTTTAGTTGAATGTTAATTTTGTAATCATAATGTCTACTCTTCTCGAAGTTTGCGGTCCTCTTTCGCCGCCATCGACCCCTCCGTTAATGGAAAACAAAGTGAGTGTCATCGACTTTTGTTTGTTTTTAAAATCGTAACTTTGGAAAAACTTTTGGAAATTAAATATTAGTTAATTTTAGCAGTCCTCTGATTAATTTTAGTGCAACGAAAATTCGGGAACGGATTTTACCGTGCCGTTTGTGCAATCGAAAGTCCGGTAAGAGCGCGGCGCGCGATCACGCAGCGCGCGCGTGCTCACCAGCCAGCGACCGTTCACTTACGTGCATCTGTCTTTGTCCCACAGGTCGAGTTACCTCTGAAGAAGGCTGCAGTGAAGCGCGCCCGGGAGTCGCCGCCGCTCGGGCTGGTGACTCCTCAGGCGTCGGACTCCGAGGGCGAGGAGGAGGTGGCCAAGCGGCAGCGCTGCGAGCTGGCGCGCCTGCTGCTCAGCACGCCGCCGCCGGAGCCCTGCGGCCGGCCCTCCGTCATCATGCGCGCGCACAAGGACGGCACCTGCAGCCCCGAGCCGCTGCCGCCGCCGCCGCCCGACATGAACATCCTGAAAACCCTCAAATTCAAAATGAACCGCGGCCACTCCTACTCGCAAGTTAAATACATGGCCAGCCAGGCGCAAGCGAAAACACCGGAACGCGTGCCCCCCGCGAGCCCGCCGACGCCGCCGTTGACCTGCGACGTGCCCTCACCCCAAGCCGAGGAGGCGCGAGTGCCCTCACCTCACGCGGAGTGCCAGCCTAAGCCGCAGCCGCGGGACGAGCAGCGCGTGCCTCAGGTTCCGCTGGCGGCGGCGCCGGGCTGGGTGCCGCTGGCGCCGCGCCCTTCGCCCGCCGTCATAGTGCCCAGTGCGCTGCTGCCCACCACCGCGCTGTGGCTGGTGGCCCCCGCGCCCGCCGCGAGACGCCGTCTATACGAGTGCTCGTACCCGGGATGCGGCAAGAATTACTTCAAGTCTTCCCACCTCAAGGCGCACGCGCGCACGCACACCGGCGAGCGGCCCTTCAGGTGCGCGTGGGAGGGCTGCGAGCGGCGCTTCTCGCGCTCGGACGAGCTGTCGCGCCACAAGCGCACGCACACGGGCGAGAAGAAGTTCGAGTGCGGCGTGTGCCGGCGCCGCTTCATGCGCTCCGACCACCTGGCCAAGCACGTCAAGCGCCACGCCAAGGAGCGCGCGCCCGCGCCCGTGCTGCGCCTGCTGCCGTCGCCGCCGGTGGTGCTGCCGGTGCAATCCATCGCGCATTAAACGCGCGACCCCCGACTGTGATTCAGATCTCAAGATCGTTATAGCTCTACTCATCTTTAAGACTGTCCTATCTTACTACTTAAGTAGTATACTAGTGTTAAGCCATTATGTTATGCTAAGAAGCAAATTAAAAAAGAGATTTATTACTACTTTGTTGTTTGATTTGTCACTGTATCACATTCTCACTACACCACCGTAATCACAAATAGACACATAACTATTTCACTTGGCACACTTGACCTACTCACTGGTTAGACACAATAAGGGGAATACCCCCAACACTAGCTCACACTGCACACTAGAAGGGTTGGACTTGGTCTCCCGGCTATCCTACCAGGGTCGGGGTCTGCAGACCATCGTGGAGCCGGCAGGCAGCCGCCGGCGACTGGCGGGCACCCGCCGCGCTGCCCGCGCTCGCCGCACGCTGATAACGCCTATTGCTACGAAACGCTCTTATCGTCACCCGTTATCGCTACGCTGAAAGCGTCTAAGACGTTATTCTAAGTCACTGAAGCAAAAACTTAGTTACAAGCTTCATACATCAACCATTCCACATAACTTTAGAACCTCTATTTCAGTACCTATCAAGTCATTCTAAGTTACCGTTTTGACCTTATTTCCATTACATAAGCTTAAGTTCTCCAAATACCAAAATAAACGCTGAAGTCGGTTGAATTCTAGGAGAATTTGTCGCTAAAATATGTACAAGAATAGAAGCTTCTAGTCGAATTTCTAGGTTAATGCTATTCTAGATAACATTTCCTTCCCAATCGATAGTCTGCAGTTTAATTTTACCAGCCACCGTGACAGCAGCGACGGAATTTCTTTGATTTTAAAGGTCACGAATAATAAAATGGCCTGATCTAAATGGAGACTTCTATTCTCCAATTGATTGCATCAGAATTTTTATAGAAAAATATAAAGCCAAACTTAAGGAACTATGTGGTAGTTCGTACTTAAACTCTTGTTTTTTTTACAACCCTGTAATCAACGATAAAGTTGTTTTGACTCTACATTCTTGCCTTGTTGCCACACAAGATTCCCAAAAAAAATCAATTAGATAATTTAACAGCTCATTGGCTAATGAACTATTGCACCACCAAACCATAATTTTGCTGTGCACAGCTTTTTTGTGTGCACACGTAGTGTGACGTGCAGCGACCACGCCTAGCACACACGGGCGGGCCGCCCGCCACGGGCCCGTCACACGCGTGGCACGTCGCGGCGTCGTGACTGCTACGTCACGCCGCTGAAAAACTTTCGTGCGATAACGCCGTTTCATGTTTAAATTGGGATTCGAACGCATTCGAATTTTGAAGGCCAAAAAATTCGAATTTTCAAGACCATTTTTTTATTCAATTACAACCTGCCAGAAGCAATCGTTTTTGCGCAAGATTTTATTTGTTGTGCATCTTTTTTAATGCAAATATCTTATTAATTTTATTTCAAAGAGGTTTTATAATTTTAAATTTTCCTAACATTGGCGAACTTATTTTTTCACAGTCATTGTGATTGTTCATTTATGTAACTTATAACCATTAAGTATACTCAATACGTTTATTGCTTCCATAATAGTAATATGTATGAATGAAGTAATGAAGAACAATGAGAAATAAATAAAGGCGCTATCTGCCTCGGATCGATGTCCCCTCGTAAATCTCTCTTGAGAATTGAAATACGTGACCCCACCCTCGTATTTCAATTAGTTGGGTTAGGTTAGTAATAATTTTCTCGGGTTCAATATCAACCGAGCGGTTGGGGTTTCTTTATTACCATAAATAATATACCAATAATATTTAGTAAAAATCTAAAAAAATGTTATATGATTTAGAACATAGATATAAATTTTTCTTTTGAGTCAAATTAATTTTAACTGAACCAAACCCTTAACTTCACAGTTAAGACACAGCGTGCGACATTGTGAATAATAATTATTTCATCATATAATTGTAGCGATTGTTATTATTGTGAAATCAATAAGCGGAAGAGATGTGTTGCTATGTGCCAGTTCATCGATAAATATTTTATAGCAACAATAAACTAACTCAAACGCCTATATTATTCTTCTCTACCTTGATCACACCTTCTTGGCCAAGTCAAGGCAAGATCAAAACCGCAATCTGCAATAAACCGTATTATTTACGAGTTAAGGTCTGCAAAACAATGCACAAACAACACAAGGACGCTAATAGACAATAGTTAGAAGTAAACCAGTACGGTCCAAGGTCATTTAGCAAATTAAAGTACAAACTTGATGCGTGTTTTAACTGTGTTAAAATATGTGGTTGCGGTTCGTGAATGACAGAAAAACAAATGTTGATAATGTAGAGTCTGTATTTCCCACCGTATATATTATAGTAGGTACTAGCTTTTGCCCACGGATTCGCCCGCACGAATTTCTGTCTGTCACGGAAGTATATTCCCTCCGCGTGTCCCTCTTTCAATAACCGGGGTAAAAATTACCCTATTTTTCCCTGACCCTGCATCTGTTCAGTGGTTTAACCGTGAAACTGTCTGTCACCACAGACACAGTAACTTTCGTATTTTGTACGATTTTCTTATACAAACAAAACTTTTTGGTAATGTCATAGAGCGGTTTATTTCTACAATATTCATATAATATTGCATAATTCTACAATCATATAAAATTTAACTTTATTATTGGATGTCGTTCCAAATCTTATCTAAACGGTTAGTTAGAGATTATGCTATTTGGGCATAAAGTTTCTATACTGATAATTCAGATATACAAATCGTGTGTCCACAGATAGGACGGTGTGAATTCAAACAAAGCAAAGATAAAGAAATAAAGATATCTCTACATTTGATAAAAATATATAACTATAGATGTTTTGAATACACTATAGCGAAAAATTATCATTTCGCTATCGCATGCAGTTAAAACATTATCTCATTGCAAACTATGTTTAAAGTTCTTAACGAGTGCGAATTTACACATCTTTTAAATGAGTAAATATGTAAGTAAGTATTCCTGCTAAAAATAACTGCTTTTCGATCGTTTTACTTTAAAAGTCTCTAATTTTATGAACGTAAGATTGAGTTTAACCCCCTAACTAATAAAAAGTTACACACGAGTTGAACAGTAGTTCGATAACTGTCAGTTTCTATCATTTCCACTAAACGGCACTGCTGTAAACAAGTGTTCAACGCACGTGTAACCCGTGTAATTAAGTAGGTAAGATTATAATTAATAACAAACACCGTAATGAGACTGATGTTATTCTGGCATTTAAACTGGTTCCAGGTAACCAACTCACTCGTAAACTGTAGGTAATATTTAACTTGTACATGCCATTAAATTAACTAAATTGAAACATCAAATAAAATAACCGAAATCTGTGTCACATATTTCAGCTTATTAATCTTCTCATATCTCAAAGGAGGTAAATCCTAATTTTGGAGCCAAATGGACGCAAGCAAGAATGATAAAATTGCACATCTTTTTGGCTTGGACTTAATGACTAATATTCATATTCTGCAATACCTGCATTTTTAATATAACCTGTCCTGAATTTTAGCAAGTATTTTGTCAGGAGTATGTACTTATTATACTTTTAGTGACCTACTAATAAAGTCTATGTAATCCTGTCAAAAACCAGGAAAAACATGGCGTCGCGACGCGGCGAGCAGGCCTCACAACCGCGGTTTCAGTGCACCGCGACCCAATCGGTCGGGCCTCAGTCGACTTTCGCGCCATTTTCCATGTCAATCGCCATTTTTCATGGTTAATTCATGACTTATAGTGAACACAGTCATATTTAGAATGTATGAATGTAAAGGTGTAAATCTATACTTCAGTAAATGCAATGGCAGACACTAAATTCTTAAACATTTTAGTTATATAGGAATAATTTATTTCTTGTACCTATGCATGTTTGTTTTATAGGTTGTAAAATAAAAAATAATGTTAGATACACGTTACGTTTGTAAAGAACTTATTTTATTTTACAACTAGAGGTGTAAAACTTGAATCGATTACTTAATTGAAGGAAAATTCACAGCTTTGACGATCAATAGTCATTAGTTAATGAAGGCAATTAGGTACGAACTAATAACCCAACATTGTGTGATTAGATCACGTCAACCATTTCATAGTTTTACCTAGAACCCTAGACTAGCTGTTTGTGTCATTACCAACAATAGGTTTATATTGACATTTTATGTCTACGACCTTACAAATACAATAAACTGAAAACATCAGCTGTCAATGTTATGAATTTATGTAAAACACCACACCAAGCCTGTCAACATCATCCTTATGAGGTCATTTTAGTCTTCAATGCAAAACATGACTCTCAATAGGGAAGGGTTTGGGGCATTTATGTCCGTTTTCACCATCAATCCTTAATTTCTAAGTGACCCCTAGAGTAACACATAACAGGAATTTTATTTTCAAAGGGGTCACTTAAAAATTAGGTATTGTTGGTGAAAACGGGCATAGGAAACCTATTTCCGCCAACTATTTTAGACTGACTACATCAACTTCGAAAGATATAAATATCTACTCAAACAGAGTTTGAACTGTCTCTGTGCCACACAAACATGTTTGTCCACAGTATCACCTAAATAAATAGGTACCTATTACCCGACTGCGCCAGAAGGAAGGTTATTTATTTATGAGGTACAGATACGTCAACTAAACACTGTGACATTTAATGCCTTTGTAATAGATTTTGCGATTTTGCAACAAAAGTGATGTGGCAGAGGGTGGAAACATTGGTAAACAATATGAATCTTTAATATCTAATTTGTTAACAAAATGGCATTTTTATTGGAATGGACTAAGTGTTATACAATGCCTTTTGTGTTGTCGCAGAGACGGAGGCGCGGTGGTCATCAGTATCAACCAAAATCGGTGTCTAATCTACGTCTCGAATACCGAATTAGTACGGCGATCGCCAATTGCTATTAAATGCAAAAAATACAGTCAACGTCCAATAGTTCATGCCTGATACCCAAACTACCAAGACTGCCCAAAGTAGCAAAAAAGATCGCAACACATCTTTGTTGCATTAGAATAAAGTTGTGTTGTCAACTTTTTGGCCACTTTCTGTATCACGAACTATTTGACGCTGACTCTACCACAAGATGAGATTATTTATTAATGAATACTTAAATGAGTACTTGA